TCAGCTGCTGTATGCTGCTGCCGTTGTGATGACACTCCGTCTGGTGTAGTAGAGTTAAACCATTTGGATAACTCGATGGAATATAGGGAATACCTGGTAATGATAATAATGGCCGCCGCCACCTTAGGTATCAACAATACGCAAAGAATGCGACAGTGATGGGTATAATCCTGGTCCTCAATGTTGGTGTAACGATGATTGCCACGTAACTAGAGAAGAACATCTCAGGAGTGTTGGCTGATGAGTAACAGCAGCAACATCAGCATCTCCATACTCCGATTCTATGTCATCATTATCGAACTTCATCAATCCTTTGCTGGTTGTACATACGTTCTCTAGGTCCTCCTATATGGGTGGCCAGAGATGATGATAATGATAAAGGCAATCACAATGAATGATTACCACTTCATGTTGGAGATCATCAGCACTCCTATACTCCCTATCCAATGCCTCTACCTATTGTGGACTGTGGGCTCTACTGCTATTACTCTTGTTGCTGTGTACCTTAATGGGAGAAGGAGCACGGCTTCTGGTAGATGATGACGATGCCCGGCGGCGAGGGCGCCCCCTCGAGGCCGCTGCTGGCACTGCGGCTTCAGGAGACTCGTCGTCTTGAGCAGCATCCAAGATGGATCCGGGTATGACGTCAGCGTAGGTCATGTAACAGATGGATATGAGACCTAATCTCTACAAAGCACAACGACAACAACAACAACGACGACGACATCATCATCGTACTCTCCTCTTGCATGGTTACCAGGCTAGGCACAACTCAAGTATCATTACGGAGATTGACTAGTAGGAAACATGATAATACTTTCCAGACCTCCAGGATACAGGGGATACCATACAATCGTGAATCATGACGTCGATGGATCTCCCGAGTGGAATCACATGATAACAGCAGTATCGACTCATCTAGGAGGCCACGCTGCGGGTTTATGGATAACGGCGATTACATTTTCGAGGTGGTAGCGGCGGTGGTGGTGGTGGTATGAATGATATTATTAAAGGATATACAGCAGTGTTACCAATAAATAGAAATAAATAATGCCGAGGAGGAAAGGGCCCGTGAAGGAGCATCTGATGATGATGATGATGATGATGATGTATAGATACTGATACTCACCTTTTAATGCTTCACATAATGCCGCAACCGCTACCCTCAGAAGATGATGACGTTTTAGTGACTCCATAGGGATCCCCTCGTAAAGGGCAGGGTACAACTCGGCCGATACACAATCTCCTCCATTCTGATGAGATGATGAAAGAAGACTAAAGAAGGAGGAGGGAGAGTTATTATTACCATTATGGCGACTCCTCGATGAATGGAAGTCATAATCTACACTCGCATCCTGAACACCACCAGCTCGTTGCATTAAAGGCCGAATACCCGCAGCGTGTTGGAACATAAACTCACTAACGTCGTATCTAATGATGAAAGGGGATGATGACCATTAGTGACTACGAGGAGCACATAATGTACTACATTCTCCCATGGGCACATATCCAACAATCATTCAACTTATTATGCCGTTGTACTTGACATGTGGTAAACTCACGTAAAGGTCCTCCTCGAGAAGAGAAACTCTTCATTGAATATCCTCTTGATGGATCTGATATGAGGAGATGACGACGACACTCAGACCGACACGATGGATGACTCTTCTGGTCAGCGGCTTCCACTTTAATCCTACACACAGTACAAAAGGTCTTCACTTGAGAGCACACCTGATGATGATGACTGTAATGATCATTATCACTACATAAGGAATACATCATCGCATCCTGGGCATGCATCACAGATGATCCCCTCCCCCCTGTCCTGGTCTATTGCTGTCGTCTCTGCCGTAACATCACCGGACACGTCTCGGACGATATTTGAAGGTGCGATACTGCTCGAGAGGCATCTGCTTTTATGGTCTAAAAGGAAGCGACTACCCGCATGAGGCCATCATAGACACTACCCAGCCCATCGTGAGGAGGCCCTACACGTCTATTGTGAGTACCGCCACCAGCATCAGCTGATCGAGGTGATAGAGACCCTGTATCCTCCCGATCTGATAATAGAAGGTATCCTCCTCGTAATGAACAATTGACATGTACAGTACCGGGGAATAGGCTCTCCTCTCCCTCCTCCTCCTCCTTTATGTGAGGGCTGCTACCTCCACGATGATGATGATGCTCATGATGGGCATCGATGCTATTCCGTCGACCATAATTGAAGTAGTGCATACGATTGTGGAGCATTTTGACAGTTGTATGACCTCAACTGGAATGTAGTAACGAAAACGTAACTAACGGCAATAGAACTACTACTATTGATGAACTCAGAGGAGCCAGTGAGATGTTTGCCGAAATACGGGATTCCATGACTCGTTGAGTTGGAAAAGACTCAATCTGCGATGAACAATCGAAAATGATCAAACCATGGATAATCGTGACCTGTCCCTACGAACATCATACCTTCGAGAGATAACGCATATCCCTCGCCGGCTGTGATAGTTCTCTCAGTCATAGGGAGAGAAGGATGCTACCGATGAGGTATTGCTGGTACAAGCCTGTGATTGGATGAACTGTCATCGGATGATGGATGTATCCTGAACTAACACTGATGCAATAATGATGCGATGCATTCCTACCCACTACTACTACTCTCCACGGGTCTACCACCATGATGAGCAACAGCTCATCGGGAACTATCAACGGCGAAGCTTAAAGAGTGTTGCAGGTCTGAGAGAGAACACTACTTCTGATAGGGTAGAATAGTACCTTGGAAGCCTATAGTCAGCACTGCCACGTAACACCATGCTATATGCTCATCCATGATCATAAAGTTAATAGATCTACGACATTACTTCCCGATACCAATACAACACAGATGGATGGAGGACACCAAGATTGAGGACTATAATGATGATGATCATGATAATGACATGTTTGAATAGTAGTAGTCAAGGCAATGAGAGGAAAGACGGAAAGTGAAAGAGTAAAAAAGAATTCACATGGCTCAATGTAAAAGGTTACGAGCCTTTTACGACTAATGTATGAAATCATATAAATAGAGTTGTCCTACGATACGGCAACTTGGATCAATTCCTCTTCACTGAATAACGATAAAAATCTATTTAGTCAGGAGGAGAGTTGTGTATCGTTGGGGGAGGAGGATGAGGAGGAGGCAGGGACCTCAGTGTCCCCTTTTACTGGAGTATTCATCATTTTAGACGGACTCGCAGTAGTACTCCTCGTTCGCAGGTTGTTGAATGAAGTATAACTCCATCCCACTGGCAGACCTTTCCTGCCGATCTTCTTCTGCTTCTTCCAGGCCTTATAAACATCATAACACGATTACATGAAATAGAGACCCCCACATGAGCATTCCTCTCAAGCTGCTCCTTAATCTTATCTGTTAGTTGATAAGCGTCGACTCTCATCAGGATCTCAATGAATGGCTGAAAATAATGACAAGCTCTTTAGTATGACAAGCATTAGGATGAGGAGTAATACCCGAACAAGATAGTCGATAAAGCCTAACTGGGATACAGGTAAATCCACTTTCTCTCTGTCACATAAGGGTGATACTGCAACTGAATGATAATAACAATAATATGGGGTACAGAGATGATGCAGCAGCAGCAGCAAAGAGAGCAGCGATAACCCATAGTGAAGGATCAGCCTCAAGGGATGGGTCAAATATTGGAATTTGTTATAACAGATCTCAATTACGGATACATCTTCTGCAGGCCGCCGCCGCCGACTACCACACATGACATAGTGAGGGTACGTACGGTGCTGTCCACATAGGACCACGATAATAGCTCGTCATACACCCTCTTCCGATGAGTACTACCATGTAACTGTTTCTCGAGATCCCCTTGTTTGAAGAACTCCTCAGCCAATCGAAGAGATAGTTCATAATGCTGATCCCATGGTAGACAGGTATGACCGATATCGGCAGCCTATTATTATCATCCCAATACCGACTACACATGTTATAGGGCTACTTTAATGCAGGCTTTGAAGATAAGTTGTCGATCATCATCATTCTTGGACTCATTGATAGCAGTCCTACATCGAAATAAGCCCGAATATAAATGTAACAGCCATACTTCTAATACTACCTAAACTGTGGACTCTGCAGTACAATACGTAAATCCGCCATGATTGCAAAGTGTTTGGCCATATCAGTAGCAAGAATGAGCTCAATGACGAGGAACCTGCTTAGAGGCACTAGTAGTAGTAGCCTACTGAAGTGCACACTACCAACCTAAAACGCTTGCTGCCTTCGCTTGTTAAATCTTCCAATATGTTACATTCAGGGAAGTCCTCCATCATCTCGAAGGTTGTTGCTGCATGGAACTGTTCTAGAACTGACTTGTCGTTATATCTAATAAACCTTGGTAATAATAATGACCACAGTGGTCTATAGTACTCACTACCTCAGGGCAAGGCAATCTCGTGTTCCAATATAGAATGCATTATTCTTACCACTATGACCAACATCATGACATATACATGCCACAAGGTAAGCTGTATGGTCCAATGCACTCACTGGTATCCCTGTAGCTCGAAACAGATACTCTCCATGAGATGTGACCTAAAGGTCAAAGCGGCGCACACAATACCGTGTTTATAGTACAAATACCTGGGCAGCGTGAGACTGATTGTGATACTCAACATCAGTGTATAATGCTGATATCCGATTCAAGAATTTGTTTAGCGTTTCCTTATTTATTCTCATGGATTCTAAAGGCATCACCAATGTAACCTGAGTATTTAACATTCACATAATAGTGATAATGCATTATCATTATTACTCGACTGGCTATCAATGGTAATACAGGTATATGACAAAGGTGTACCTCCTGTAGTTCAAGGACATTTAAATTGAAATCATGCCCAGCTTCCTAAACAGTACAAGTATAACAGCAGGAAGCGGAGCGATCACCACCCGCTACCTGTAGCATATCGAATGCTCGTGGTGTGATATGTTCTAGACGAGTGGTATCGAGAGACACTGAAAAGAGCATGATACTGGCTAGAGGAATATCAAGGGAATCCTACACTGTGAAGTAGTGAGTGATTTTATCAGCTGATGATGATTATGATAGTGAAGATGGTAATGATACTGTTGAGGCATGTACATCCCGTTGATGACCTATACAATCGAGACCGTCGAGGGTGGGAGGGGGAGTATTGATATCATATACTTGATTGATATAGTTGATAAAGTCACGTCCACTCTCATCATTGCTCAGACTACCATCATTGTGTAATACCTTAGCAAACCCTTGAGCTACTAACCGTCTACTCATCCTACTACTCACCAGTCTATCCCTAGCAGCAGCCGCCCTAGACAGTGTCCTCACTGACTCCTTTATCAATGTAGTGGCCTAAGCATCGACGACCATTCATCATCAGATGAGAGCTTGATAATCCTCCAATGTCACGACTATCTTCCTCACCTTTTACGAGTCTATGCCCAACTAATGAGACCATACTACCTAATAAGCATACCACTATTACCTCAAGTATCCTATCCCTATTGTCATCAGTGTAGGGATATAACTCAGTCGATATACGATCCTCACTAGACTCCCTTTCGTCCCGTGCTACTGTTGCTATCCCCTCAGACTGCTGTACGCATCCACCTGATATCATAGATTCATAGATGGGCCAACTTGTATAGAATACTACTCATCATTTCCAGTATATTGAGGGCAAAGCCTACGTCAGTTACTGCCTTCTCAAAGTTAGTGATAGGTCCGTAGCCATTAGTATGGTCGGCGTCGTCGCCTTCTTTCAATGTCCTAATTGCCTGTTGGAGAATCTGAAGATAGTAGAAGACATAATACAGTGTTGAGTGCATCATCATCATGAACCCTTACCTTTGTCTTCCGAACAGACACATTAGTAGCAATGAACTGCGAACGCCTACTTCTCTCAAGGGTAACTCCCCCTAAGAATACTACTAGGATAGAGGCAGCAGATGGTGATACTACCAGCTGTGACCATGGCTACCAATACGATAAGCATTATTGACTGAGAGAAGGGATCATCTGTGTTAGGTGATCCAAGTATTATGCTAGTACTAATATACCTAAGGTCTAGTGATAATAGTAATGAGAAAGGGCTATTACGATAGACAGACAGTGACTGCCAATGATATTGACAATCGTACCCGAGATGGAGTCCACACACAGAAGTATCTATGATTCGAATGATACGGAGTATGTACTACAGACCTACATCACAACTGAATTCAATACTAGTAGTAGACCCGCATCGCTAGTATAGGGTAGTGTCTGGTCATCTAACCCTTCTCCAAAGGCTGAGCAGTGGAGGCATGACAGTTCGAGGAGAGAG